AAAAAAAAAAAAAAAAGGTTTAACAAGACACCATGCAGAGCTGAGCTGGGTGAGACCTGGTGTCTCTGCTGAGGTCCCAACCAAGGCCTACAGAGCCAGAAGTGCAGCCCAACTTGCCCCTGCCAGTGCACGGATGAGCCCGCCCAGGCCACAGCAGCATTCAACAGTCCCACAGCTGCACGAGGCAACAAATGGGTGTTGTTTGAAGCCACTAGTTTTAGATGTTTGTCACAGAGAAACAGCTAACGGATATAACTGTGATATGAAATTTACACCGGGCCTTGTATAAATCATGTTACTATTAAAATAATTAGAATCACTTACCTAAAAATCTACGGAGTTTCATCATATCTAAATGGAAGTACTCAATTAATCCATGAAGATTAAATAAATGAAAGGTTAAGCTTACTAGACTATTTCCTAGAAAGAAAGAAGAGATAGTCCATTAGTAGGAAATGCAAGTTAACATGGTTACATTATGCTGTCAAATATGGGTGGTGACTATAAAGCATGGAAAAGAGACTGCTAAGTCCTACTTTGGTCTATATACAATTTTCATATTCTTATTTTGCCAGTTATGAACTTTAATGTCACATCTTCGTTTCATTCTAAGAAAAAAATGAGAATGAGTTTTTTTGGTACATTTTTCTACAGCCAAAGAGCTGGAAGATAAATATTTTCAAATGGATTAATTTTTTTAAAAGGCATGAAAATAATTGGGACAGTAAGAAACGTTGAAAACTGAATAAGTTAACTGAATAAGTTAACTCAGCTTTCTGAAGTCCCTAAAACTCAGCTGCACTTAACCTCTTCTCCTGACACCCCTCTACTATCTTGCTTTCACCAAAAAGAGCTGTCCCAGAGGAGACTGCCTCGGCTGCAAAGCCTTGTTAGACGGAGGTTGTGTTTATCCCATTTATACGGGGCCAGGAGAAGTGACCAGTGACCTCCTCAAGATCCTCAGGATGAAAACTGCGAACTCAACCACCTGCCTCTTCCATAACTGCAGGGACAATCTGAGAGTTGCTGGGGGCAAGGAAGGCAGAATCACAGACGCAGTAGACCTCTTTCACTATAAACTCATGGTCAAGACTGCCCCCAAATCTTGTTATGTCTTTCAAGTAAAATGGTTCTTCCACTTTTTGAAATGTCTATTTCCAAGCATTTTCTGCTCTTCTCAAACTTTGCACATACTGGCTTCCCATCCACTCCCTCATCTCCACAGCTTCATCCATTATAGAAAAAATACAAGCCCTGAAGTTCCCCTTTTCTTTCAAAAGCCAAGCCATGCACACCTCTTCAGAGACCGTCCTTGGCCATCAGATGCATCCCCACCCACAGCAACTGATCAATCTCCCTCGCTTTTCTATATTGTCCCAACAAGCATCAGCTCTCAGACATCACTAGATTCACTTATCTAGGAAATAACCAAGAATTTCCACCTGTCCTGTTCACTCCAATTTCACCCTCTCCATCTTCCTACACAAACGAATTTTCTGAAACAGCTGTCACATGGAACAGGACACTCCTTTGTCAATGTCAACTAGAGTTACACCAAGTACAGGAATTAAATTAGAAAAAACCCACCATTTTTATGCTTCATTTTCTCTTCCATGATATACCTCTTCATTTTTTATACCAGATGCTACATGTCTCAAAGTTTTACAACCAACTTCCATAAAACACATACAGTATGTTATTTTTTTTTCTTTCTTTTTTTTTTTTTGAGACAGAGCTGTCCCCCTAGGTAGAGGGTAGAGTGCTGTGGCATCACAGCTCACAGCAACTTCCAACTCCTGAGCTCAAGCAAGTCTTCTGCCACAGCCTCCCAAGTAGCTGGGACCACAGGCGCTGCCACAATACCTGGCTATATTTTGGTTGCAGTCGTCATTGTTGTTTGGCAGGCCCGGGCTGGGTTCGAACCTGCCACCTTTGGTGTATGTGGCTGGCGCCTTAGCCACTTGAGCCACAGG